TCATTGTTCGCAGCTGATGTCACTCGCAGTTGTGAGCGGCCGCCTTTCCCGGGGACAATGTGGGACTGAGCGGCCCAGCCGCCGCGCCGCCGCTGCCGCCGCCGCAGAACAACCCCAGCGAGGTAAGGCGAGGGCCGGGCGGGGCACCGCGGGCCATGAAGTTTGGGGGTTCGCTGGGGAGGGGGATCCGCTCCTGTGTGCACCGACCGCGATCCTGGGGGAACTGTGAGGAGCACGGTCCCTGTCCATTTCGGCTGAGGCCTGCACAGGTGGGGGGCGTTGGTTTTTCAGGGGAACACCCCACTTCAGGGAGGGATTTTGTGGACCTTAGGTACCAGGTTTGAGGCTCCCATCCTATTCGCTGTTTCTGTCCTTTGAGCTTGCTCTTCGTTCTGAACCTCATGGCCCAGGTTCGGGCTCTACTTCATCTCTGTTCTCATCTGCCATTCTCTGCAGCTCCTGGCTCACACACACCCCTTCCCATTCTCTGCAGTCCTTGGAGGAGCCAGACTCCAGGCCAAGGGGGGGCGGGATGGAGAGCACAAAGTGGTCCCTCATTCCCTGTGGCTCTTCATCTCCAGCTCTTGGCCTGAGTGATGGGGGCGGAGGTGAAGGGGCTCTGCTACCTACTTCAACCTGGCCCTCATGCATGCCTGGCAAGGAGAGGGAGGTGCCCACCTCCTCACTCTCCTAAACCAGGCCCGCCATCTTGAGACCTGTGGCACCCAGGGCCCCGCCCCATCCTGGCACCCAAGGGAATGGTCTTCAAGGGGATGTACCTTGGTCCATTCACACCGCTTCTCTCATGATGTGTGGCTGTGGGTCCCCACCAAGCCCCACCAACAAGGCATGTGTCCCCAGAGACCCTTCTTCCCCTTGTAAAGAGCTCTCAGACCCCAGGCATTGGTCAGGAGTTGGTCTCTGACTCAGGCTGTTCAGGGGGGGTCACCCTGGTGGCCTCAGAGCAAGCACCTGGAGGGGGGGGTCTATTGTTTCTTCATTTGAGGATATTATCCCTCTAGGTTCTGGAACCCCCTCAACTTTCAAAGCACCCCTATCCCAGCCCCCACCCCCTAGCCTTCATCAGCATGCAGGCTCAGGCTGCCCAAACACAAGGGGATTGTTCTCTTTGCATGCTCAGGGTGGGGGGCTGGGAGCGGGCGGCCCACACACCCTGCCAGGCCCAGGCCGCAAAGAGGCTGGCCTGCCCCACCCTATGGCCCCAGACAGGCTCTGTCCACCCTCCTACTCTCATCCCTGTTCTCCTCTAGCCTCTATCACCGTTACTTAGCTCTTGACCGAAAGGGCTCTGGGCTGTCCAGGTGGACCCATGGGTTCTCCTGGCCTGCCTGTCACATCCTATGCAGCCTTCTAAACAACTCCCTTCCTCCCTAGGCCTCAGGTTCACCTCCTGATTGGTGAGGCTTTTCTTGTTGTGATTGGTTGAACCCACCTCAATGCTGTGAGACCCATCTCACACCACAGCATTTCTACCAGCTCCTCTCCCTGCTAGGGGACCCACTCTAGTCTCTCAGAACTTCAAATTCCTCCCTTCAGCAACATGCCGAGCCGAGCGAGCCCCTAGGCCTGGGAACCCAGCAGGAACAGGCTGAGATGCTGGGCCGGAACTTGGAATTCTGATCAGGCGTGTCCTGATTCTGCCATGTGCTTAAAGCCCCGACACACCGAGGTGTGATGATCTCTAGTGTTCCAGGGCCTGTGAGTCCTAACTCCCCCCTTCCCTGGGGCCAGGTCCTGTTTCAGATTTTCTGTTCTTCTGTAGCAGAAAGATAGGCTCAGAAATGCCCACCGGGCCTCTTTTGACTTGTAGCCGTGTCTTTGGGGGAAGCACAGAGGCCAGAGAAATTTCATTCGAATTGAAAGGTTGGAAGGCTCCATGGAGGAGGAGGCATTTGAGAAGACTTTTGCCAGAGAGTGAAGGGGATAAGTATTTCAAGCTGGAAACGTCAGCTAGGCAACGACTCTGTCTGAAGTTCTAAACCTATTTTGTGGCCTGGGATGAGGCAGAGATGTGACTGGACCTTGGAGGCCTCCGTTGCTGGTGCATCGAGGTCAGGTTTTATCCCTTGGTTCCTGGGGATCCATGGATGGTTGTTAAATAGCAGAGTGAGCATAGTCTTTGGCATGGAGAATGGCAATTTGAGAGCTTTTTTAACTTGGATAGACAGTAGCGCTGAGCAGGGCCTGAGCCTGCCTTGGTTTCCCTCCGCCATGAAGACTCTTGGGTGACTCTAGGGGGTACAGCATTTCTGGCACCCACCAGTTTATCATCTTCTATGTTCCTCTTCCCTGGCACTTTACCAGACAGACTTGAATCAAGGAACCAGAGTCTACAACTGCTCCCCTAGTTTCCATGTCTGCCTCCCCCTCGTGCCCCCTCCCCCCCGTCTCCTCCCTCTTAACTAGGGATGATTGACCATCCTGGGAGGTTGAAGGTTGAGATGGGTCCATGGGTCTGGGGATGCTGGGCAGTTCTGTGGAGACCAGGCTAATCAGCCAGGGTGAACATGCCCAGAGTACAGGATGGATAAGGGAGCCAGGAGGTCTCAAGGCCTCCAACCCCCTCACCAAGGCCTAGTGGCCACCCTCCTGCCACACCCTGCCATGCCTGATGCTTAACCATTCCCTAGCATCATCGGGTGTGGCCAGCCTGACTGTTTTTGGATTAAGGGTTGAAGGAGGCTACTAAGGAGTGTTAAGGTGGGAATGAGATACGAGGTGAAGTTGGAGACTGGATTCCCCCAACCTTCTGCAGCCCAGGTGGGTCCGCAGTCTCTAGTGGTCCAGACACACTGAACAGAGGGAATCCCCCGAGGGGCGGGACAGCCTGCTTGGTTCAACTGGCCCCAGAACCCTCCCCTCCCCGGATTGTTCTTGCACTAGAACAAAGCCAGGGAGGACACTTGATCCCTGCATGTGGCGGGGGGGGGGGGGGGGGCCTAAGCCCCCCGGCCCTTTGATTGGACAGCTGTCATAGGAGAGAGACAGCTGGGGGGAGGGGCAGGAAGGGGGCAGCCTTGGCTTACACAGCTGTCACCCCCCCCAGCCCCTCCAGTCGGAGTGGCAGGAAGCCAGGTTCAGAAGGAGTAGGCACTTGACTGGGGAGGGGTCCTGGGAAGCAAAAGAAGGAAGGACCGAGGTCAGAGGATTGGTCTGAGAGTGGGATGTTCTGCCAGGGAGCTCTGCTGACCAGAGGGGGCTGGGCACCCTCAGAGGTGAGCTGGAGGTCAGTGTGGCATGATGTGTGGCTGCCACGTGGGTGGCCTAGCAGAGACCTGGGGCCCCACCAGACTGAAGCGGCAAGATACTCCTTAAAACCCCAGTGCAAACAGGGCATCTGGTAATGAATGCCCAGTGGGACTACTTATGCTTAGGACTCTGGGAGAAGGGCCTGGAGGAGGGTCAGGAGCCTCCTTCTTTCCAAAAGATAGGAAAAACTCAAGGGTCTTTCAGAACAGGCTCACGGAGATACCAGCAACCCTCCCTTACCTTGACTCCCCAAACAGTGCAGGTGGGTAAATCCAGGTCCAGGCCAGGAAAGGCCAAGGTCACCTATTGAATTTGGGGCAGTGGGTCTCTGCTGCAGACCTAGGCATCTTCCTAACAAGACTAACAGTTTCGCCCACGGTCCATTTTTCCTGGGATCACAAGAAGTGCTAGGAAGACTGCTTTCAGATCTCCCAGTTTGTCACCCAATTAAGAGTCCACGGAATTCTGGAGCTTAAGATTCTACGGCCCCAGATAAGCCATCAGCGTTTTCCAAACAGGATGAACGTCCACTGACCAGGCAGAGGCTCCCCAGGCCACCGCAGTGTAGATCCCACTTCAGAAAAGGATCAAAAGACCAAGACTAGAACAGCTACAAATGGGCCCCAAATAGAGCCTGGTCCGGTCCTACAGTAGCTTGTTGGCCCCATTCTTCCCACTACACCCTTCTTTCTGTGACCTTGGGCAGGTTACAGACCCTCCTGCGGCGCAAATTCATCTGCTTCTGTCCCTGGTATGTCTGAGCACCCTCTGTAGCCTGGCTCTGAACTGAGCCCTGGGGACACAAGGAGAAGGTGGCAGCTTTGGCTCCTGTTCTAAGGGGCTCCCAGGCTTGGCTGTCCAGGGAGACAGAAACTATGCACGTCATCACAGGCGCTTTGATGGGGGAAGTGCAGGCAGCCAGGGGAATGTCTAGCAAGGGCAGCCAGCGCATGGCTAGCCAGGATGCCCAAAGAACACAGGCCCCGAATCTATTGCTGGTCTCCACCCTGTGGCGAGTTCTATGGCTGAACTCAAATGGAAGAAGTGGACACCTGAGAAAAAACATGTGGAGACAATGCTGCCATCCTGATTGTCCCCATTCAAGGAGGAAAGGAGACTGCTGTTTGGTACAGTGGCTCACTCAGGTATCCAAGAGAAAGCGAGGTTGGGAACTCTCTAACCACTCCATACCCAAACTCTGGCTGGCACAAGACATTCAGAGGAAGGCTTTGGGCAGAGCTCTGAAATCTGGACCCTCATGTCCGGATAGGACAGAGGGCTGACAAAGGTGGCCTGAGTCCTCCGAAGTAGTCCCATTGGGGACCACTTATCCCTTGTCCCAACACCCTTCTAGGCAGAAAGAATTCCTATGGTTAGTGATGTCTGGGTCCAGATTCTCTATTGGCACCAGTTGGTTCCATTGTCCTCCTCAAGTTCTAGTCTCCAGTGAGTTCACCATCAAGGCTGGACCATGGCGGGAGACAGCCGCTGCTGAAGGATTTCTGAGGAGGATTAAGGTTCAGGATTAAGTTGAGGCATGAAAAGGGGTCGGGTGGGGAGGGTTGGCGGCTAAACTAATCCTAGTAGCTAATCTCAGGCTCGGCCTTGCTCCACCAGTTAATGGCCTTGACATTCCTGCAGCCCACCAAATCCTTCTCTATTATCCATTACCCAGTCCCAAGGAGACAGATCCTCTCTGGTGTGTATGAAAATGGAGCCCCAGAGCCGTGTTTCTGGTACAGTCGTGTGTTCTAGGTCTTCGCCCTTCTTGCCTCCTGTGCACAGGGCCATTCTGAGAACATAGGAAAGAGATCAGAAATACCACTGTAGAGAGAGAGCCTACCTTTACCCCATGTCATTGTTGGGCAGATCATGCCTCATGTTGTCTGCAGTGACCTTCTCCTCTGATGACCCCGAGTCATTGGGAACTTGTCTTATGGGCCTCCTGTCCCAAACCTTTGCTAGGCTTTGGCTTCCTCTTTGGCCTCTTCTTCACCATTGTTCAGCCAGCCAGCCAGCCAGCCAGCCAGCCAGCCAGCCCTGGCCTCTGGAAGCAGGTACCTCATATTTAGGGTAAACTTTTCTTTCCTTTTTTGAAGCATGGTCTCGCTACATAGCCAAGGTTACCCTTGAATGAGAGCCTCCTCCCTTGGACTGGGTACATCCTGGGTTTATAGGCCTGTGCTACTGTGCCTGGCCCAGAGTAAGGTCTTATCCTTGATTCCATAGTGGAGGCTCAATCTACAGGGATCTTCCCTTCCAAGTGATGGAGGAAGCCGTCCTGTGGTTCTTCATTAACTCCTCCAGACCACATATATTCTAGACAAGCATTCAACCAGTGAGCTCTAATTCCCTGCCATCTTTCCAAGACTTGGGAGGAAGGGAAATTGGGTGTCTGTTATAAGATTGTCTCATTTTTTAAAACTCCTATAAATTTAGAGGATAGGATTCGGTAATTGTTTTCTAGGTTGGATGACAGAGGCCCAGAAGGCTTCAGTGACCAGGATTACACAGCCAGAAAGAAAGCGCACAAATACACTGGTCAGAAGGACATTTAGAACTCAAGGCCCAGGCTATCTCCCTTCTCTTTGAGTTTGGCTGGCCTGGCCCTGTGGTCCCCATGTAAGAGCAGTGGCAGGGCTCCTCTCAGACTCTCTTTTCTGCTGCCCTGTCCAGAGCCAGCTGAGCCACAGCGTGGACACACTCCCAGGCCGCTGTGGCCCCAGCCCCGCCTGACAGAATGAGCAGTTCAGATGCGGGGCTGGAGGAGGAGCCAGAGCTTAGCATCACCCTCACGCTGCGGATGTTGATGCACGGGAAGGTGAGTGGGTGGGGCTGGCAGAGCCCTGGGGCAGCACATGTCTGGTCTCAGTGCTGCTTCCCTGCCCGAGTGACAGGAGGAGCTGAGCCTGGGACATTCATACCCATCTGAGTCGACTCTTGTTATCTCTACAGGAAGTGGGCAGCATCATTGGGAAGGTAGGTGTCCAGTTCTGCTCTGTATATTCCCCTCAACTTGAGCCTCAGCCCTGGTTAAGGGGTGACTACATAGGAATCTTGGTTTTTGTCTCCCACAGAAGGGAGAGACTGTAAAGAGAATCCGGGAGCAGGTAAAGATGGGGTCAGGGGAGGAGCCCAGGGCCCTGATGTTGAAGGGAAGGGAGGTGGCCATCCTTTCCTCTGAATCATCGCGCCTGGGATAACTGAGTGGCCAGAAGAATGCCAGTTTCTAGTGACTGGGGCTTAGTGAGTGGGGCAGGCAGACAGATCCCTGGCACCACAGTGGGGAGGATGCCTGCTGCCCGGCGCTTGTCCCACACCTGCAGAGCAGCGCCAGGATAACCATCTCTGAGGGCTCCTGCCCTGAGCGGATTACTACCATCACCGGCTCCACAGCCGCCGTCTTCCACGCCGTCTCCATGATTGCCTTCAAGCTGGATGAGGTTCGTGCCTAACTGGGGTGGGAGTCTGAGGGTGGCTGCCTGTGAGAAACCTGACCCTGTCTCCAGATAGTGGCTATGGGGGAGGGAAGGTCAAGTCCAAGGCCATGTTCTCTTGGAGGAGGTCTAGGAAGGAGGCATTCTCCCTATCCCTCTTCAGAAAAGTACTTGAGGGAGGGTGGGGGAGTAGCAGGCGTGTACATGGCCGACTCACTGTCTCTCTGCCCCAGGACCTTTGTGCTGCTCCTGCAAATGGTGGCAGTGTCTCCAGACCTCCAGTGACCTTGCGCCTGGTCATCCCTGCCAGCCAGTGTGGATCACTGATTGGGAAGGCAGGCACCAAAATCAAGGAGATCCGAGAGGTAAGCAGAGAGAGACCACTCATGGGTGTACCCGTGGGCGTATGTCTTCTACCCGTCAAGGGGAGAGGGAACTAGAGCTCCGGGGCTGCCCTTTCTCTTGGCTACTGGAGTCGACAGAAGTGGGTACTATTTTCTATTTGTAGACTACGGGAGCTCAGGTGCAGGTGGCAGGGGACCTGCTCCCCAATTCCACCGAGCGTGCTGTCACTGTGTCTGGGGTGCCTGATGCCATCATCCTGTGTGTGCGCCAGATATGTGCTGTTATTCTGGAGGTACTTCCCAGAGTTAGGGGTGGGATGGGGGATTGGGGTTGGGCAGCCAGGTGGAGGGCAGGAGAGGGCTCCAGGTGCTTGTCACCATCCAGATCTTCTGTCTGTAATATCAGGTGGGGTGGGGCAGGCAGAGCTACAAGCCTGTACTGATTATAAGCTTAGGGCACACTGGGATACATTTTCATGGAAGCCATGGGAATGCCTTAAGGCCACTGGATTCTTGGGGAGACCTGATCTCGACAAAGCTTTTCAATTTGTGTCTTCTAGTCCCCGCCCAAAGGAGCCACCATCCCATATCATCCAAGCCTCTCCCTAGGTACTGTCCTGCTCTCCGCCAACCAGGTGAGGGCAGCATCAGGAGAGGCTAGAAATCTTATTGGAGAAGGGGGATCAAGGTGGAGGAGGGAGTGGACTAGAAAATTGGGGGGGTCTGCGGAGGGCACGGGGAGTGATTATCTGGCCTGTCACAGCAGCTCCCTTTCCGACCGTTTTGCCCCCACAGGGTTTCTCTGTCCAGGGTCAGTATGGAGCAGTGGCCCCTGCAGAGGTGAGTGACCCACAGCCTGAGACACCCCTTCCTGAATTGCCCCCTCTAACCTCTGACCCTGTTCTCTGACCTAGGTCACCAAGCTCCAGCAGCTCTCAGGCCACGCCGTTCCCTTTGCCTCAGCCAGTGTGGTGCCAGGTAAGCAGTTCCCGCTAAAGGACGCAGGAGGGGCTGGGCTTTCCTTGCAGTGGCCGTGGGAGGCCCATAGAGAACAAGAACCATGCTCAGTCCTCTTCTTCTGCCTCAGGACTGGATCCCAGCACACAGACCAGCTCGCAGGAGTTCCTGGTTCCTAATGATGTGAGCAGAAGGTGGGGGGCTGAAGGGTGGTGAAGGGATTCACGGGCTTAGACATTGCTCAGGGTTAAATTGTGCCTTCCCCCTAGCTGATTGGCTGTGTGATCGGACGCCAGGGCAGCAAGATCAGCGAGATCCGGCAGATGTCAGGGGCACATATTAAGATTGGGAACCAAGCAGAGGGTGCTGGGGAGCGGCATGTGACCATCACTGGCTCACCCGTCTCCATTGCCCTGGCTCAGTACCTCATCACTGCCTGGTGAGCATGGGGCAGGCAGTGGGAGAGCATGGGTGGGAAGGAAGGGATAACCTCCTGTCTCTCTGGACCAATCCCCTGCTGCTCCTCAGCCCCTCTCTTTTTCCTGTGGTATTATTCTACCTAAGTCATTCATGTTGCCTCATTTACTACTCCTGTATCCACTCCTCATGTCCTGTCTCCCCACTGTTGGTTTTTCCTGGGTCCTTCCTAGTTTTCTTCTTACCCCAAGTTATATCTGCTTGTATTTTCTACCCTCCCTGCCTTTGTACCTTTCCTATTCTTGCCCGAAACACACCCACCCCATACCACTGTTCTCCAATCTATTCCCCTCCCATCTTTTGGCTAACCTCATGGCCCCTGTCTCATCCCCACCTTTCCCTTCATCTCCCCTCTGTGTCCCTCTCTCCAGTCTAGAGACGGCCAAGTCTACCTCTGGGGGGACACCTGGCTCAGCCCCCGCAGACCTGCCCACCCCTTTCTCGCCACCCCTGACGGCCCTGCCCACAGCTCCCCCAGGCCTGCTGGGCACACCTTATGCCATCTCCCTCTCCAACTTCATCGGCCTCAAGCCTGTGCCCTTCTTGGCTCTACCACCTGCTTCCCCAGGGCCACCGCCGGGCTTGGCGGCCTACACTGCCAAGATGGCAGCGGCCAATGGGAGCAAGAAAGCTGAACGGCAGAAATTCTCCCCCTACTGAGGCCGGCTGAGGCCCAGGCCGGGGCAGGCAGGACCGCCAGCAGGGGCTGCCTCCACGTCCTTCCTGCCCAAGGAGACTCTACCATGGGGTCTCAAGCGCCAGTAATGCCAGACGCATGGATGCACCCCCTACCCTGCTCCATCTTTGGAGTTCCTCCTCAGAGAGGGGACAGTTCCTGGCCCTGGGTTCTAGGAGCTATGGCAGCCCCAGAGCAGGGGCTCCACCCCTTCAGACCTATGCTTGGATGCCGGGAATGGCCAGGGCCTCTCTAGTGCCCTGAGGTGGGAGGCTGCTCATGCCCTCCATCCCTTTGGGCCTTTGGCCTACTGCCCCAGTGGGAACTGGAGGAGAGTGAGAGGTGGCTGGGGCCAAGCTTCTCTTCATCCCCTGCAGATTCTGCTGCTTCCACTGATACCCTTTTGACTGGAATAGACTGGCTGGGCTTGTCAGGGGGCAACCCAAAGAGAGGGCTCTGCCTATTGCCGGGGGTGTGGCCTGGGGCAGGGGCCCAGGTCTCAGCAGCAGATTCTCTGTACAGTTTTTTCAATCCCTGTTTTTGAATAAATATTCTCAGCGACCAGAAAGCCATGAAATAATACTGCTGTTGGGGTGACAAAACTTCCAGGGGAAGGGTGTAGCCGGAACCCCGAAGAACCACAATCTGTGAATCCAGCCCCAGTTGATCCACAGCCCCTTCCACACGTCACTTCTGGGGTAAAATCACAGGACCCTTTCAGGGGTCATGTGTTCAGTCTCCTGTCTTCAGCACCAAACCAGTCATACTGTTTGCTGAGCCATCTGAGTAATGAGTTTGAGTACAATTGTCCGACGTCTCCGTGGCACAGATGGCAGGGATAGCTTCTGAATGTCTCTCCACTGGTTCCTCCTGCTGTGGCTGTAACCCGGACCCTCATCCTTTGGCTGTGAGCTCTTAGAACCCTCCTCTCTGTGACCATGCCTGTATTTCTCCCCTCTGGGCCAGGGAGTATCCATGAATTTAAAAAGCCTACACTGGAGGGGTCCTTAGGAGATGGCACAGGGTACAGATGGGAAAACCGAGTCCTCAGGAAAGAAACACAGGTAATATTGGGCTCAGAATCAGGTTCCTGAGAAACCTCACTAGACTAAGTTAAGTTCCACCCTCTCTCGCGTTTCAGAGTCAGCAGTCTGGGCAGAGTACCTGCCACGACCTGTGCAGGGGGTAGATGTGGCCCTCTGGTCCCATCTTCCTTTCTCCAGTGCAAGAGAAATCTCTCAAGTGGCTTCTGGCACACTTGAGGTCTGTCCTGCCAGTTCTGGGTTCCGTTCTGGTGCCTCGGAAGGGCCCAGGGCAGGGTCCTTGCGAAGCCCCTGGAGGCGCTGAAGGAGTGTCCGTGGGTGCCAGGCCTGCGGCATGCGGACTTTCGGGGGCCTAGGCAGCGCCCGGCGAGTGAGGCGGCCCAGTGCCAAGCGCACAGGGCGCTGCAGCAGGCCATAGAGGAAGGGGTGAGCCGCGAAGGCGGAGTAGGCTACCCAGGTAACAGCCGCCTCGGCTGCTGCAGCGCGCGCCGCGGGTGCCAAGCACGCGCAGCCATAAGGCAGCCAGCAGGCTGCAAACTGGCCCAAGGCCAGGGCTGGGGCCAGGGCCGCCTTGCCCCCGGGTAGACGTGGCCGGAGGGATGGCAAGAAGGAGAGGCGGCTGTCCAGAGAGTCGGAGCGGAGCCGGGTTCCTCGCGGGGGTTGGAGAGCTGCGCGCCGCGCCACCAGGAAGATGCTACCGTAGGCGGCCAGCAACAGCAGGGCAGGCAGCGCGAAGGCCAGCAGCGCCCAGAGCGGCCGGAAGGGCCCGAGTCCTCCGGCCAGGACGGAGCAGCGAGCCGGAGCCGGTGGTGGCGCGGGAGGTGGCCCGAGCAAGGAGAGCGCTCCCAGGAGCGCGGCCGCCGCCCACACGGCGGTGAGCACTAGCTCTGGCGCCGTTTTTTTTTTTTTTTTTTTTTTTTTTTTTTTTTTTTTTTTTTT